ACAGATGAACGAACAGATGGAAGGACGGATGAATAAATACGAATTAATCGATAGATATAGAGTAGAGTAGGCAGCATAGAGCGTTCGATGAGTTTTAAAACTAATGACGGCTTCAACATCAAACAAAATAGGTAAGTTTACTGAAACTCTAAAAAAGAGCACAACTATTTGTTGCAGTGTACAGTTATAGATGAGCATTGCTTAAAGCAAAATTCGGTGTGTTTTTTTAGAGATTAGGCAATCAGCTTGTCAGCTGGCATTTCGCGCTGTTTGCTTTGCATTGCGTTAGATACGCAAGTGGGCGTGGGCGTGAGTGTGGGCGTGGCAATGGCAAGAGAGATTGTCTCTTAAATATTCCATGCGTGATCGAATGCACAGCGACACGCAAACTCTTGGCCTGGACAGACTGAACAGACGGACAGACAGACAGCTCAACAGGCGGGCGGGCGAGCAGGCAGCGTGAATTGAATACAAGACGCTGCTGGCTGCCCCCATCTGTCCTGGCTGCCTTTTGGGGGCATGGTGGGGTTGTTCAACATTAATGTCAATTTTGATGCCTGATTTATGGCAAAGCATTTGGGACGCTGTGTCACGGCCGCATGACTTCATTTCAATTCAATTGGCTGCTTTGCGAAAGATGCGACACAGATTTTACGCCAAGGAATGCGACAAATATTACCAACACACACACACACACACACACAAACAAATTTACAGCTGTGTGTATAAATAGATAGCTCTGTCTTGGCTGAAGAGCACGTGACCCGCTAACCTTAAAAGCCTTTTGCCACGCCCACACGGCGCGCACAGCCAAAGGGCAACACACACCAAAATTGACAGACAAAAATAAAAAATAGAAAAAAATAAAATAAAAACCATTGAGACCCAGCCGCTCGCTCACCTGTCTCCTACACCTTTTGCTGACACAATTTTCGGCTGAGCTGTGTAAGGATGCTGCTTAAGTGCAGGCAGCAGGCAGGGGAGGGGGTGGCAGGAGGCTGCCGAAATTGCGCTGCATTTGCATTGTCAGCGCCAGGCTGATGCTTGTTTGCCCGCCTGCAGCTGCTATCGTGCATAGTTTAGTGCCATTAAAGCGCCACCTAGCGCCTGGCGGCGGAAGCACTCAGCTTGCACGATTTACGAGCAAAGATTCCGAGCGCATTTTGCATTTCTCTTACCGCAGCTGATAAAACTGTTCGCACTTGCTAAGCCAGAGGAATTCTATGTGTGTGCGTGTGTGTGTGTGTGTGTGTGTTTGTGTTAGTGTTAGTGTTTGTTGCGCAGCGTAATTTACAGTTATGTCATGGAACGTCAACTTGTTTGGCTTTCATTTGCCGTCCACACACAGAGGACAGAGGACAGAGGACAGCGGACACTTGACTGCGCCACTTGCCTGTAATCCTCGACAAGCGTCCAATTTTCTGTATATAATCCATTAAAATGAACAACGCAACGAGGGCGGCCAATGAAAGTTCTATGATTATAGTTGAGTTGAGAGAGAGAGAGAGAGAGAGAGAGAGAGAGAGAGAGAGAGTTAAATTCAAGAGACTGTTGACTTATATTTGTATACATTTTTCATTATTCTGACATATATATACTATATACTATATTGATATATACCTCATCGAAAACGTAATTTGTCAATCTACAATTTAGCATTTTCACTTTTTTAATTTCAACTAAAATTTTATGTTTTATAGGCGTTTGAAGTTGAAAAATAAGAAAGCCGAATATTAATGTTAGACACTGTACATACATATTTCAAAATATCTCTGCTAGGGAGCAGAGATAGAGGGATACACTATTCTAGTTCACTTTGTTCTATTCTCTGTCGCTTTATATATTAGCTTACATCATGTTTGATACAATACCTTGATCTATGCTCCATCCATATCCCTCTCATGCTTAATATCGCCTATATGACTGTAGTAGAGCAGGCAGAACAGCAGATGAGGCTATAGAGTAGATACAAATATCTACTGTATCCCTCTCTACGGTCCGCTGTTTACTCTGCTAAAGATCGTACTTCTACTCTTTCCCATACCCTACACTATACTCAATTTTATAATTTATTCCTTACCCTATAATATACGCAATTCTGAACTCTACTCTTTGATTTAACGCATCGTCAATTTAATACCCCTTCTGCAACCTTTTCTTTCCTCTTTATACATTCACATATGGGCAACTACTTGAGCCACCCTCGCGTTAGCTCAAAATGCTCGCAGTGCTCATCCACTTGGCTCCGCTACTCTCTAAGTGTACTCAATGCAGCACTGAAATTCATTTAACGACTTGCCGCACTTTAACAACACGCACACACTCATCCCACACACACACAGACACACACACACGTGCACACATGAACAAGTTGTTCCTGTTGCGCGAGTATTTTTTTATTATACCCTGAACCCATTGAAAATGGGAAATCAGGGTATAATGGTTTTGTTGAAATGTATGTAACAGGCAGAAGGAGGCGTGGCAGACCCCACAAAGTATATATATTCTTGATCAGGGCGACGAGCTGAGTCGATTTGGCCCTGTCCGTCTGTCTGTCTGTCCGTCTGTCCGTCTGTCCGTCTGTCCGTCTGTCCGTNATTTGAGTTTTGCCAGCGCCACTAGCAGGAGTGAGGTGGCCTAGTGTGTTAGCAGCATGACGCTCGATCGAGGAGTCGCGGTTCGAATCCCGATCGATGCAACTGATGTTAATTTTTTTTAATTGTTTCAAAATATTTTTATATTTTATTAAATGAGTTTGGTATTTTATTTATATTTTTAAATACATCGAAATTGAAATTTCAGCCATACTAAATGAGCATTTTTATTTGTTGGGTTCAGGGTAGTATCTAGTCGAGCACTCTCGACTAGAGTTTTCTTACTTGTTTTTCTTCTTCTTTTGGGAGGGAAAATATTTGGCGTTGGTTGGGAAGACAAAAGTCGACAATGGCGGTAAGTGTAACCTGACCTTGACACGCTCTACACACACACACACACACTTACGCTGCTCCAGCTACATAGCTACAGCAGCCACGCCTCCTGCTTGACTTGGGTGGGCGCTGTTATTTTACTTATTTCTTTGACATTCGTTGGGCTTACGTAAATTCAATTTTCTGTTTGATGAATGTAAACCTTGTGAGATTTGTGTAGGTGTAGGTAGGTGTGCATAGCTGTGTGTGTGTGTGTGTGTGTATTTTATGCCTGCAGCTATGCAAGGGCTCAGCTTGCAGCGAGAAACGAGGCTGCGTGATTTGCACAATTTTTGGCCAACAACTTTTGCCAAAGGTCAAAATATTAATGTATTTGAAATGAGCCAATGCCAAAAGCAACAACAACAACAACAGCAACAGCAGCCGTGGCAACAGCCGTGGCAGATGTGGCAGCCGTTACGAATGAGATACGGCACAAAAWACTTTTACTTTTACTTTTACTTTAACTTGAACTTTTGGACATATCTGCGTCGGCTGCGAAAAGTGGAAAACTTCTTCATGTTTATTCATTCATCTCGACATGCCCAAGAGCTGAAAGCAACAAAAACAATAAAACAACAGCAACCATAAGGACAGCTGCGTCCATTGGCTACAAGTGGCCGAACAATCGCACATGATGCACGAACCGGCCAGCCAGAAACTGCCAATGCGTGGGCGAGGGTCCAAATGTGGGCTCATAATGCGATTTAGAGCCCACACAAAAAAAAACTCAAACTTTGCAGGCGATGAGCTCAGTGAGTAGCTTATTGCGGCTGGTTTGTTGATTTATTTATCTATTAGCAATTGGCGTAGGTCTTAGACTAAATCCTTGTCAAATTCGATCAGCTTTGACCTTTCCATGAATTAGCTAATGCAATTGAGCTCTAAGCCTAAGCAAATCACAGAAAGAAAACAAAAATCTATAAAATTTAGCTGCCCAAACGTTTCAATATGCTTTTTTTAGCAAGCAGATAAGAAGAGCTTGAGTCAGATTTTAATCTACAGGTCAATATAAATATATATTACAGTTATAGTTCTTATTGACTCATTGAATATCTAAAAATAAAACATTTGACTGTCTTGCTTTGTTCATTTATATTACCATTCAAGAATTAAATTTTAAGTTTATTTCACATTGGTAATTTTTAAATTCGCTTACAATGCGCGCTCTAGGACTTTTATGGCAACAACTCGATATAATATCGATATAACATACACACTTAACATACGTTCCACACCAGAAATTTGAATATATCAAAAGCCATGGACTTAACATGCATTTTGTTTATTTTCATAATTTGCATAAAAGCATATTTGTTTCTAGCCCTGATTTGGATCCAAAATGCACAACATTGTCTCGGGATCAGTTACGCAATCTACACAAATAAAATTAGTATAAATATATACATATAAATTGTCAATTGCACTTAAATTACCCGCAGCAACGTTGCAAATAGACGCAGCCAGCACCCAAGCAGCGAGTACTACAATTTTAACGATGCTTTCCATTGAGAGTATATTTACAGAATGTAGGGAAAAACCTGGCCCAGCTCACAATTATAGAGATAATGGCATCCAGCTTATCAGTTCAAATATTAATTATATAGCTAAACAGCTTCAATCTATTGTCAATGCGTCAAATGTAATTACTAAAATAATCAGTGCGTTATTTATATTTCATAAACATAGTTGTCTACATTTATTCGGCTCACAAATTTTCTAATGAGAAATATTTGGAAAAAATTTTTTCAAATGGGGCGCTCTGTTTTATGTTGGCTACACGATATGTTATTAAAAATGCAACCATGGCACATCACACGAATAAACGAAATTAGCGCGCTTTGAAAATTACAGTTTTAAAAATTGAGAATTGAGGTGTTAATTAACTTACCTTGACAGATCGTTTAACGCTTTTATTTCACTTGACAAATAGAAATAGACACTCAGAGCCTACACGCTATAAAACACGACAGGGGCTGTGTCATCGATAGCCGATTGGCAGCTGTTAATCAATGTTTAACAGTATGTTAAATTATCGCTTAACAGAAACATATGGTTTTTGTTTGTAGATGAATAAGAAAATAGTTTATATGACAAAGCTGCACTATAATGGATGAGAAAGAAAATCCCTTTGATATGGATAGCCCCAGCTTCGATGCCGATCGATATTTGGAGAAGCTGCTCAAGGAATGCTCCCTCAAGCAGATCATGGACACAGAGGCCGCCGTCGTCAAAGACACTCAGACGTTGCACTCGGACATGCAGACACTCGTCTACGAGAATTACAACAAATTCATCTCTGCCACGGACACGATACGCAAAATGAAAGATGACTTCAAGCAGATGGAAACGGATGTGAATCTGCTGATGAATAAGATGCAATCGATTACCACATTCAGTGAACAGATTACGGGCACTCTCCAAGGCACACGCTCGCAGCTCTGTCGCCTCTCCGAGAAGCATTCGCTGCTGAAGCGCCTGCAGTTCCTCTCGACGTTGCCAGCCAAGCTGAAGGCACTGATCGAGGAGCAGAACTATGCACAGGCGGTGCAGGATTACTTGCATGCCCAGAAGGTGTTCGCCCAGTATGGACGACAGCCCTCGTTCGATGGCATCAAACGCGATTGCGATGCCATCATGGAGGAGCTGAAGGAGCGTCTGCGTCTGGACTTTCAGAGTGCCGGCAATACGGCTCAGTCCTTGACAGAAATTGGCGAACTGCTGCTGCAGCTGGACGAGAAGACCTCCGACCTGGCCAGCGAGATGTTGAGATGCGCCAGCAAGCGGCTTCACGAACAGATAGTGATGCTGCAGGATCAGACGGAACGGGATATGCTGGAATTCGTGGACATGGGCATTGATGGCTTTCTCAACGATTTGGCGCTGGTGGTCACCTCCTATTTTGATATGTTTGTGGCCAAGCACTATGAGCAGGAGCGGTAACTATCAGCTATACAGAGATTAGATCCTATATATCTCATTCACATCTTCCTCTAGCGACGACTTCCAGGAGAACGCCTTGAATGCGCTGAACGGCTTTCTCAATGAGAACATCGACAAGTATTTGACCTTGGTGCAGGATCGCGTCGAATCGGACATTGGGTATGGCGATACGCAGGTAATGCTGCGCGCTCTGGATCGACTGCATCGCCGGCTGCAGGCCATGCGCAACATCTGCCGCGGCTTGCAGGTGCAACGGAATACGCTGGACATCATCATCGGAGCTGCCCATCAGCTGTGCGATGCGCATGGCAAGAACTTGAAGGATCACTTTGCAGACAGTCTGAGCGCTGTGCGATTGTCCCTGGTCTCGGCCAAGAGTGACGTGAATCTAAGCGAACTCATTAGCAATCTGTACGTGGCCATGGTGGAGAAGATCAAGGGCGTGCTGCAGGATTTGATGATCTTTCTGCGCACCGACTGGTCCTTCAATATCAAAGCGGAAAATAAGGGCGCGCTGTGCGTGGAGGGAATCAGGGAGAATCTGCTGATTGGTTTCCTGCGCCACATCTCAAAAGTGATGTCCGGCTTTGCGGATGTATCCAGCTCCAGTCCGCCCAACCTGCTGCTGGTGTTGTCCAAGACGTGCCTCGAGCTGGAGCAGCAGGGCGTGCACATGCTGGTAGGGCAAATGCTTCAAAACTTGACTCTAAATTCCTGTTAATCCATTGTTCCATTGCCAGATTACTCTGGTCGATGATCTCTATGAAATTGATTCGGAGAACAGCGCCACGCTCACGCACGAGACAGAGATTTGTGCCGAGATGCGCGAGACAGCCCAATCCCTGCTCGATTCCTATGTGCGTCTGCAGGGCACAAATATATCCCAAATGCTGCGCAAGAGCGTGGAGACGCGCGACTGGCTCAACTGCCTGGAGCCGCGCTCGGTGCGCGCTGTCATGAAGCGCGTCGTCGAGGAACTCGGCAGCATAGAGACGGTGCTGGCCAGCCTCTACGAGAGTGCGGGCAATACGGGCTTCCGCACCACGGCCAGCAGCGACTCCAGTAGGAAAACCTACTTCAGCAATTTCAATGCATCGAAGCCGCAATACCGCTCCAATTGGTCGAATTATACACCCTCGCAGCTGGAGTCCAGCTATGTATCCAATATACATCGTTTGTTCTCCGAGCGCGTGGACATCTTTACCTCGGTGGAGTTTACCAAGGCTTCCATTGTCATGGGCATCATTAAAATTGGACTCAAGGTGCGTTTCGACTCGACTCCATTAATGAATCTCTGTTGGCTTACTTATAATCTTTGTCCGATTCCTCGACAGACGCTGCTGGAGTGCGTGCGCCTGCGCACCTTTAGTAAATTTGGCCTGCAGCAAATCCAGGTGGATGCGCACTATTTGCAAATGAATCTCTGGCGTTTCGTCAGCGATGAGAAGTGAGTGAAAAATGCTGATAATCCAATCAATAAACTAAATAAACATTTACTCTGCCTCACAGCTTGGTTAACTTTTTGCTGGACGAGATTCTGGGCTCGGCCGTGCATCGGTGCTTGGAGTCTGTTCTCATGGAACCGAATGCCGTGGAGATCATTTGTGAGCGTGGTTAGTACACTGCAAGAAATTCCAAGCACATCTCAATGCAACAACATTCCCGGCTTTGTCTATTTCTCTTTCTGTTAATCGCTGCTAGCTTAAGGATTCTATTTACAAATATTTAATAATTTAATCAAATAAACTAAATTATATA